AACTCATCTGTATGTATTTATGTCAGAGTTGTATTTATCACACGTAAGTCCTATTAATGCTGGAGGTTTCATTAACTTATTTCAGTTTCTACTGTGTGGATGTCAAAGAAACCAAAATGGCCACCATTTCAACTAGAATTCCCTTCTATTTCTGGATAAACTTCTTCTAACTCAGAGGATATCACTCCTGGATATTAAAGAGCAAGACATAAAAATATTTTATTAGTGCTTCAGATTAGCAGGACTTAGAGATCAGTGCATTTTCACCATTTTAAATATAGCTAATCAGATTTACGCCAACTGAAGACCTAGATGATTTTTTTTTCAGTGCTTAGGAATTTGATATTATACTGCTTTGTTACAGAAATGAAACAAGAAAAGTGAATAGCAAAGGTGGAAAGTGAAATAATTAAACTAATCATCTTTAAGTTTTAAGATTATTCAAATATTAGCTTTGAGGAAATTAGGGCATAAAACCACAAAACCAGATTTATAGCACGATTTCCCATGGTTTCATTGTTCTGGACAGGTCACAAGAACATGTAATTATGTTTTTGTCATAATTACCCAGCAATTTTTTAATGCAGAGGATCTGACAGATGGGATAACCTACTGATAACACTATTCTTAAGCAGAAGTTTTGCAGAGTTTACTTCCTACTCCGAGTCACTCACATTCTCTCTGTCTCTGGCCTGTGTCCAAGCTCATGTTTCATCCTATCCATGCAATGGAGTTTTTTCTGCCTTACACCAAGTGGTTCACCTCAGATACAGACTTGCCTTGCTTTTCGTTAAGCACAAGTTTTTAGCAGTTCTTCTCAAATATGATGACTTTTCTACTCATAATGTTCATTTATACGAATCACTGTGATTCCAATACATTTATAAGAAATTACGCTGATCTCATGATTCATAACACAGTTGGAATATCTATGTCTGCTAGTGTGAGCTTTTCTAGTGAATCTGCTTTGCTTCAGTAGGAAATTGAAGCACTTCTCTCATCAATCCTTTGAGATTCCTGAAATGTGTATTTTTTGGAATGGAATTCAGTTTGAGTTTAAGACACCGAAAAGTATTCTACATGTGAGTTCGATGTCTAAGCTCTAGTAGTCAAATGAGATTTATACAAAATAAAAGACAGAGCTCTTTAATGTTCCCCTACATTTCTTCAGTGGAATAGATCTTATATCCATTGACTAAATTGATTACCCATCCAAGTTAGACATACGTTGCCTAAATATTGGCAACCAGATATGTTTTAGGTACCTTTGGTCTCCTGTAGGACTTGTGTCACATCTACCAGTACCACATGAACACTGTGGATATCTCAGGGAATTTCAAGTGTTGTTAGAGGCATATCTTCAGGAAGGTGAATCACAGTATATAATATGGAAATATCAGAAGCAATGAATTAATGTCTTGAGGCACCACAGTTCACTTCTATGAAAGTAAATTCTGCTGAAGGCAAATCTGTGGCTCATTTGTTTCTCACATGTAGACCAGTTACATTCTCATTACGTCTAGTGGTTGACTGTTCACTTTGGCTGGATGCAGCAGCCACTCGACTATGTTGAATCACCAACAAAGTTGGTTATGCCTAGACTTTAGTGCATCAGGGTGTGTTTCAGAACTGATTTCTGTTCATTTTCTCTTATTATTTTTTCTCCTGTTAAGCAAAAGGAACCTCAGGAGAAAAATGGCTGTGCAGGTCTGTGTTTTCCTGTTTGGAAAGTAGATAGGGCAAAAATTTGTCAAACTGCCTAAAGTCAGGTAGGAATAGCAAGTGACATTTTCCTTGTTGTCTCCATGCAGCTTTCAGATGGAGTCAATGCAGGCCAAGGTCTGGGTATCGAAATCATTGCTACTTTCCAGCTGGTGTTGTGTGTCCTTGCCACCACAGACCGGAGAAGGAATGATGTCTCAGGATCAGCACCTTTGGCCATTGGTCTCTCCGTCGCCTTGGGACATCTTCTTGCTGTAAGTTTTAGCCCTCACAATTTATATCTGCAATGTCCCACCTTGGGATGGGCCAGTGAAGGCAGGAAGATGATGGGAGGATGATAGCTTCTTCCTGCTCCTTCCACTTCAAAGACTGACCTTGTTTCTGCAACATGCGTGGCCTTTCTTGGGCCACATGGCTGTGGCAGGAAGCAGTCAGGTTGCACATCTGGTAGGAGCTGCTGTGTAGACCTGATGGGACAGGACAGGTATACAGCAAACAGCCTTTCCCCTTTCTCTGTGAAAGAGCAGGTGGGGTGAATGAAGCTGCTGTGAGCATACAAACCATGCTGCAGGCTGCCACTGGCTCTCCTGTGAAATGAAGATGCCACTTATGCATCAATGTCTCACCACTCATTCTCTTTCCACCTTCTAGATTGATTACACTGGGTGTGGAATCAACCCAGCCAGATCTTTTGGTTCAGCGCTGATTGCCAACAACTTTGAAAATCACTGGGTAAGTTGAATAAATTTGTTCAGCTTACAATATATCTGAATATACAAAAACTACAAGATCAGAAACAATTAAAGACGCTCTGAATATATAAAAACTACAAGATCAGAAACAATTAAACATGTATTATTAAGATCAAGTCACTGAATTGCCCTTTCTATTTCATTTAACAAAGAATAGTCTCCTTTCACTCCTGAGAAGCCTCAGGCAATTAGAAAGTCTTCAAGCTCATTCATTCTTTCTGTGCTCCAAGTAATACAGTAGATTCTCTTGGGTTATTTCCCTTTAGATTTATTTATTTCAAATATTTAAAATGTTTAAGCCTTATTAAACAGAATCTTGTATTGTGTATTTATTGTTTAAACTGAGTTTGTAAGGTACTACTCTTTAATCTGGTAAAATCCAATTTCAGAAGATTCTTAAGCAGGTTCATAAACTGAAATGGATCATCCAATATTTGAAAGCTATTAAAATGTTCAGCATCTTAAAATTAGGTGTCTGCTTAAGTGTTTCAAGGATAAGTGCTCTGGAAACTGTAAATTTTAGAATATTCTCTGTGATTAAATGTGGTTAAAATGAGGAACTTCACCAAAATTTAATTCTTTCACCAAAGCTCAATAAAGAAGGCTGATATAAAAATGTAATTATAAACGAGAAAGTGTTCTTGAATATATTAAATGTGGCTTGTTCCAGCTCTCCTACTCATGATTTCGGCAGCCAGTTGCATAGGCACTAGAGGAAATTTAGTGGTAGTACAATGGGTTGTGAAAATTTTGCATATGGATGGCATTTTAAACTAAAGAGCAAACTGCAAAAGGAGAACACTGGGGAATTTTTCCCATTATCTCCCACTTAAACACTTCTACTGGGATACTAAGGTAAAGTAACGAAGCTAGTAGCTGATATTGTCAGAATTCAATAGAAAAATTATTATCCTTTGTACGGACAGAATGAGGTGGAGGTAATAATTGATGTCATACTACTGATACTGCTGAATAAAAGAAAATGTTTTCAGATTCAGAAACTCTTTGGCCATGCAAATCCCTCAATATAATCTGTTATTTCTAATAAAATCAACCTGTCTAATGAAACCCTTTTATTACCTCTCCTTCCAAACTTTACTTGCCTTAAGTGGTTAGACCAGTTCAATTACAGCAATATCACTAGCTAAACAGCTGCTAGTAGCAAATTAAGCCCCTAATTAGGTCCTCATTAAGTATTATTTGCAAATTCACCTACCACAGGAAAGTAGTGGGAGAATGGAATCTGATGTCCTGTTGTTTTAGAAATTGTCCTCCTCTGCCAAATCTATGTGGAAATGTTTTAGCAGTAGATATCTGACAACATAGTCACAGTTATTAACCTCTGGATATATCACCAGTTCATGCTGTGAAATTCCTTGCTTCTTGACAGGTGGTTAAGTAAACATTCAGGTGAGCAACTGCAGTTTTAATATTTCCACTGTAAATTTCATGGTGAGAATCCTCAGAGGAGAATTTCAGAAGAGATACAGATCCAGAAATACCTGGTGTATTAATTGGGCTTGGAACTGTGTTTCAGATCTTCTGGGTTGGCCCAGTCATTGGAGGAGCAAGTGCTGCCCTGATTTATGACTTCATCCTGGCACCCAGAACCAGCGACCTGACTGACCGCATGAAGGTGTGGACCAGTGGCCAAGTAGAAGAGTATGACCTGGAAGGAGATGATATGAACTCCCGTGTTGAAATGAAGCCAAAATAAAGAAGGACAAGGAGAAAATAAAAAATAGCACATTGGTTTCCGAAGATTTTATCAGTGTTATAGACTCTTTGTAAACCAGCAAGCAGTACTTCATTTTTTAATTCAATAAGGTTATCCACTTTTTGCCCCCAACCTTAACAGCATTTTTATATCTGAGGTTTTTCAATTACAAAGCCTTCAGGCCAAGGAGTCATTAGACACTTTTGTGTGAACTAAATAAATTGGGCTGAAATTTAACTCCTCCCTTGCTACCACCAACTTTTCCGGTGCATTTTGCATGGGCTGTTCTCCTAGCACATCACTCAGTAATGATAAGTAGTTCAAAGGACCAGTCTGTTTGCTGAAAGAATAGCTACTGAGGACAGAGAACCATCTGCACCAATAATGGGGGTCTTACACCTGAAGAAAAAGCATTTATACAAAAATGCAAGGCTGCCAGCACTGCATGGGAAAACCAATCTCAAATCGTTGCTGTTGCTGTACAGGCAACAGCATCTTTTGGAAGGAAAGGCCACTAAAAATTATTTGTTATATAGAATTAACAATAACTTCCTAACTGATTGATCATCTCTGAGAAAGAGGGCCAGAAAAGTTAAGCAAGGGAAGAATTTCCAGAATCCCAGGATCCTTTAGACTTTCTAGTATTTCATTCTCCTTGAACCTGCATCCAGCTCATTGTGAGGGGAGAGAGTATGTGGCAAAAAAGGTATAGATATATTATTTCCTGGGAAGTAATAACTAGAAGTCAAATTGGAGAGTAGTAATAACAATGGCAACAAGAACAATATGGTGCCAATGTGTAAGCAGGATGATTGTTCCTGTGACTACTCTGCTTTTGTTCATCTTGTGTCATTTATCTGCATGTTTTAAAGCAAGACAAGGAGAAAAGAAGTTCCCTTTCTTTCTGACCCCATTTCAATAGGCAGCGCTGTGACATTCAGGGACAATGAACAGATAGACACACAGTGTGTTTTCTATGAGGAACATTTACATACCTGTGTGTAAGTCCATTTTGGGGGTTGTTGCTTTGGGGTTTATATATATATA